AAGTAACAGTGGCAAAATTAAAGCGATCATAGTAAAAGCCGCGGTTTGTCTGACCACCTGAGACACCCAAAGCTAAAGAAGTACGCTTTAAATTTTGAATATAACCGAGAGAAGAATCATAGATAGCAGAATCAGAATCATAAGAAGAACCTCGAGTAAATTCCATAGTAAAAGATAAAGATTCAAACTCTCCATCTAAGATAGATTTAGCGGCGCGAAAATAACCAGATGTCGGAGAATAATAAACAACAGGAACACCAAAACTAGAAAGTCTAATATTTGAATTAGAAAAATCAGTAAAATAAGCTATATAAACGCCCAAATCAGAATTAAAAAAAGAATTATATGAGGAGTAACCGTCGTAACGATTCTCGATAAATAAATCAGCCCAATAAGCATGATGCAAAGAAAGAGAAAAAGGCGAACGAGAGCAAAAAACATAAGCACTAACAGAAGAAGTATTTTCAGGTACGGCAACATAACCATATACCATAGAATCAGAAGTTAAAACACATTCATCCCACAAAGAGTGCGCTTCATATCTCCCACTATCCATATAAAACATATCAGCAACAAAGCCGCCTGAAAAACTAGGGTAGACATTTAAAGTAGAAGCAAAAACATCCTCACGCTCATACAACATTCCAAACAAAATACACATTACAAAAGCTAAAATAAAGCATATATATTTTAATTTTTTCAAGAAAAATCACCTCCACAAAATAAAAAAAGCGGAGCGCCAAAGCGCCCCACTCTTTCGAGATTTACAATTAGTGTTTACGAAGCGCAAAACTTCTAACAATACCAACTGCAGTACCGATCAGACCGAGACCAACACCAAGAAGCAATACCGGGTGAGATACCATCAGATCAGCGACATTACCAACCATACCAACGATAGTTTCAGCGAGATCACCGAGGACGGTGAAATCAAGAGAAGTTGCAGCATCTGCAATAATAATTGGATTCATGCTTTTTACCTCCATTTTTCATTTTTATATTTTTTCATTTTCATGCATGATCATAAATTAAACACGAAAAAAGATTATCCTCCGAAATCACTTTACCCGAAGTATTAAAACGACGAAAGACATAAAATTGTATTGTCATTCCGTCACAAAGCGACTCGCGCCAAAATCCAAGCCTATGAAATTCATCCGTCTGAGCTTGCAAACGATCATAAAGCTCACAAGCAGACGACAAAGGAACATGAAACGCAAAGAACTCATCAGCAACCGTGGCAGTCATTACAACACTAGCATAGGGAGGAGTCCAAAAAGCCAAAGGCTCATAGTCACAATCAAAATACTCAGCATCTTCGCAAACTTCAAACATATTAAAGAACCTCCACTTGATCAAGATATGCTTTACCATAATTAACGGTATAAGAAAGTTTTACCTCTGCACCGATCATAGACGGATTGAATTGTCCTACCTGATCAATAGGAGCAAAAACACTCTCCACTTTTGCACCCACATACCCAGCTTGTAAATCAAGCTGAGAAAGATCATGCTCAATAAAAAGCATGGTGTAAGGCTTGCCAGCCTTACTAGATGCGTTACGATAACCCAATAATTTACTCATTTCTTTTACCTCATTCTTTCATAATATTTTTTCTAGGGCTATTAAGTTGTCAATGTCCGCGCTTTACTTTATGCGAGCAATTTGATATCATATTGTTTGCCGAATACGTATAAACTGCACACATCGGGGAGCTTATGCCCGGCAGACTTTAACCAACCCAATCTGCAAAGTGTTCGCTTGGACAATGTAAATAAAATGTATACATTTCATTTACAATATTATTATATATACTAAGTGATAACATTTTGCAAGTGTTTTATTAACGAAAGGAGTACATTCATGCAAAATGCACAAACCGTATGGAGAACAACTGATACACTTTTAAACAAAGTGCGAAAAGAAGCAGAACAAAACCACAGAAGCCTAAACAATCAGATCGATGTAATTATACAAGCGTACTTTATCGAAAAAGAGAATTTAGAGGCGACAACAAGTAACATTTGACTTTTTTATTATTATTCTATATAATTCAATTAACTTATTTCTATATACGTTACTTGCGTATATACCTCATTTGCCCGGGTCTGACTAACTCGGGCAATTTTTTTGCCCATAGATTCCGCCAACTTCGAGGCAGTTTCCACAAGATCAGCTTCAGAGTCGACCATCATAAGAGAGATATTCGGCATAGAAAGATTAAGGCTACGAATATAACGGTGTCGCCCTAGATCAATACACTCCAACTCTTTCGTCACATATTTACCGATATACCGGGCACACCTATGATAATCCCGAACAGCTGTAACAGTCGAAAAACCATATTTCCAACCGCCTAGATTATAGATTATATTTTTCCCATCTTTATGACCTGAATCAGAAAATTTAATAGCACCGCACTGAGCGACAAGACCATGAAAGTGCCAAGCTCCATCTTTGTGACGTTCGGGAACAAATAAGTATTGCAAATCAGGCGCATATCTTTTGCGCTGGTTATTGAGCCATTGACGCACCTTATTAAGACACACATCATAATCATATCTATCAACCGCGTCAGGTGAAAAAGTTAGCGTGATAAAATACTCCCATTGCGCCGCCCGGGCGAATGTAAAAATAGATTGCTTCGAGCGCAAGACACTATTTTCCTTAGAGCGCGCCAAATCAGCCTCCGAATATTCAAGTCGTCGAAAATCGATACCATCAGGCACATCAGAACGAACATATTCACCGTTAAAAGGATTCTTTTGCATAGGGTGATCAATTTCATAAGGATTTTCGGGCTGAGGATCAGGGAGCGCAGTCGAATAAAAGCGGCATTGCACTTCCCCATTTGGATATTCAAGAATCTTAAAATTATATATTTTTACCACCTCCACAAAAAAAAGTGACTGCGAAGTGTTGCTATAGTCAAGTATAGCAACACCGAGATATCGCGCGCTTTATGCATCATGATTCTGCTTCGACAAAGCAAAAAAAAGGACGCAGTGTTTGCGCCCTAGTACTATTTTTCTATTAAGTTTTTTCATAAAAAAGCCGAGAACTATCTCGTTAAACTTCTAGTTTTCCAAATACTCGATGTACAAGCGTGTAACTAGCGGGAGATTCCATTTTACACGCTATCGAGTACCGCGCGGAAGCGATGCGCTTTCGGAAAACTATATACCATTTTAACAAATAGATTTACTCCGTAAAGGGGATTTTTGCGCCCTTGATAAAGCGCTATTATCAATCTGATACGACGGGCAATTCGCTTGCCACATACGGCGGCCAGACATACAATATAAGCCCCACTTATCACTGTCACAATTCAAACAGCTACAACAACTTTTTTCTATCTCTTTCACTTATTTCTATACCTCCACATACAAATTTGTAATCAAGCTGAAACTTCGTTTCAAGGTGTTCTAGATCAGAACAAAATTGAGTTGCGCCGCGCTAGAGGTTGTTTGTCATATTCTCCGCGCGCTTGTAGTCATGCAATCCGCTAGCGCTCTTGCATTTGGCGGCCACTACACAATCACAAGTTTTAATCGGCTTATCACCAAAATAAAACATATCTTCAAACCGCACACCGAATACCTCACAGATCCTAGCGGCAGTATACGCAGTCGGACTGAACTCATTGCGCTCAATTGCTCCAATACAATTACGAGAGCAACCAACACGCTCTGCAAGTTCCGTTTGCGATATTCCCACAAGATGCCTATATACGCGCAAATTATTTCTTAATATCCGCATACCAAAAACCTCCCTCAACTTGCTTTTCTAAATTTCCTTTTTTTATGAGTCCTAAGCGCGTCATCATCCTGAGCGCGATCACCAAGATTCGATAAAATTTCATCATAGGAAAGGCGACTATCGTCTTTGATCAAGTTCTCAACACAAGCAAGAGTATCATATCGTTCAAAGGCGCGATTTGTGATAAACCACGCAGTTCTAAAAGTCGGCTGAAGCGTTTCTATCGTTCCGGCATTTTCCACCACATGAGCCGGGAAATAAAACAGCTCCATAACGCGCCATATCTTATTACACCATATAACACGTTGTGTAACGTCTCTGAGGAGCTTATCAGTCAAAAAGAACTGCTGACTCGAATAGATCAAGTTAATGTTATAGTGACGGCACGTGATCAGCGTAGACAAAAATAAAGGATCGATATTTTTATCTTTTCCCGAGAAATTACGACTATTCAATGTGCTAGATGCTTCATCAATGCATACAAGGCAACAAGTGCGCGTTCCATGTTCGCGATCATACTCTTTTTGGTGACGTGAGAACTCCACCACATCAGCAAGTGTCACAAGAGGCACACATTGTACACCAAATACAGTGAAGTTGCTGAGGACAATCACACGTTGCACAACCCATTTTTTAGCGGATAGATCATAATATTTTCGCCCGTCATACCTACGCGCCACATGGTAAATATAATCAGCCATGGAAAGTGTTTTACCGCCGCCAAAATCAGCGCAATAACAGTCTAAGCGGCCACATTGATATTTGTTATACAAGCAAAACACATAACGCTCAAATAGATCACGCAAAGCATAATAAAAAGCCTTAAATGGATGTAAAAAGATAGTTCTAACAAAAAGGCTATACCATAGAACAACGCAAAAAACAATTGTCATAATTACAATCATTTTAACAACCTCCCCGTATTAACAAACACAGACCGAAGAAAGATCAGGAGGAGCAGAAACACCGCAAGCACACACACCGCTCTCTCATCAGCCGGAAGTTCCGAGAGAAGTTCCGAACCGAAAACAGTTTCAGTAAATTCATAGAAAGACATCAAAATCACCTCCGAAATAGAACCGCAAAAATCAGACAAAGCAAAAGCACATTAGTAAGAAAACCCGAATGCAAAAGCAGATCAAAGTCTTGCGGAAGGGACTCCGCGGCGAGAGTCTCGCTCGCTTCCGTTCCTTCCGTTCCTTCCGTCGCTTCATCATCGAGCAACAATAAAGACTCGAATATCGGTAAGCTAGTCATTGCCATCACCTCCGATCGAAATAATACGACCTATAATATAAAGCCCGGCGAAGCCGATCAAAAAGTCGCCTATTGTCAAACTAAAATCACTTGACAAAGGAATACTAATAGAAAGCACCTCAACAAAGCAATCAGCAGCCGCACGAAGTAAAGTAAGTATCATATCAGTGCACCGCCTTCCACACGATCATTATCGCACTTACAGACAAAGCAGCTATAAACATAAAAGTAACCCACGGAGGGAGGAAAGAAAAGAAAGCCGCAAACAACCCACCAAAGGCAGTAAGGGATTCTGTAAATTGACCGACAACCGCAGGAACGTCGGAAAGGTCAACATCGACAATATTTGGCGAAGAAGCCGAAGAACCGGCATCCTCCACAGTCTGACCAATTCCGGTAGAATTTGTGACGTTTGAATTATCAGATTGAGAATCTAAACGACCATCTTCCGATATACCGCCATCTTCCGTAGTACCCGAATATGAAGAGGACGACTCAAATTGATAAACAGTCCACTCACCAAAATAAGAATTAGCACCATCGAAGAACACAGGACGAAGCCAAAGTTGAACATTAACACGTGCAAGAGTATTCTGAACAAAATTAAGTCCCTCAAGAGCTTGATCTAATATATCAGCATATGCTCTATCATCCTTTGAAATCCACAAACGACCGAGCAAGAGCGAATTATATATATCATCTGAGCCATTGCTCAAAGAAGCTGGAGGACAAAGATCATTATTAGACAGATAATAATAATCAGAGACTACAGAAAGATAAGGTTCGTTGCGGTAAAAAGATTGAGCCGAAAAACCATATTGAACATCAAAACCCTCATCAAAAATTTGTCTACCCGAAGAAGTAACAGTGGCAAAATTAAAGCGATCATAGTAAAAGCCGCGGTTTGTCTGACCACCTGAGACACCCAAAGCTAAAGAAGTACGCTTTAAATTTTGAATATAACCGAGAGAAGAATCATAGATAGCAGAATCAGAATCATAAGAAGAACCTCGAGTAAATTCCATAGTAAAAGATAAAGATTCAAACTCTCCATCTAAGATAGATTTAGCGGCGCGAAAATAACCAGATGTCGGAGAATAATAAACAACAGGAACACCAAAACTAGAAAGTCTAATATTTGAATTAGAAAAATCAGTAAAATAAGCTATATAAACGCCCAAATCAGAATTAAAAAAAGAATTATATGAGGAGTAACCGTCGTAACGATTCTCGATAAATAAATCAGCCCAATAAGCATGATGCAAAGAAAGAGAAAAAGGCGAACGAGAGCAAAAAACATAAGCACTAACAGAAGAAGTATTTTCAGGTACGGCAACATAACCATATACCATAGAATCAGAAGTTAAAACACATTCATCCCACAAAGAGTGCGCTTCATATCTCCCACTATCCATATAAAACATATCAGCAACAAAGCCGCCTGAAAAACTAGGGTAGACATTTAAAGTAGAAGCAAAAACATCCTCACGCTCATACAACATTCCAAACAAAATACACATTACAAAAGCTAAAATAAAGCATATATATTTTAATTTTTTCAAGAAAAATCACCTCCACAAAATAAAAAAAGCGGAGCGCCAAAGCGCCCCACTCTTTCGAGATTTACAATTAGTGTTTACGAAGCGCAAAACTTCTAACAATACCAACTGCAGTACCGATCAGACCGAGACCAACACCAAGAAGCAATACCGGGTGAGATACCATCAGATCAGCGACATTACCAACCATACCAACGATAGTTTCAGCGAGATCACCGAGGACGGTGAAATCAAGAGAAGTTGCAGCATCTGCAATAATAATTGGATTCATGCTTTTTACCTCCATTTTTCATTTTTATATTTTTTCATTTTCATGCATGATCATAAATTAAACACGAAAAAAGATTATCCTCCGAAATCACTTTACCCGAAGTATTAAAACGACGAAAGACATAAAATTGTATTGTCATTCCGTCACAAAGCGACTCGCGCCAAAATCCAAGCCTATGAAATTCATCCGTCTGAGCTTGCAAACGATCATAAAGCTCACAAGCAGACGACAAAGGAACATGAAACGCAAAGAACTCATCAGCAACCGTGGCAGTCATTACAACACTAGCATAGGGAGGAGTCCAAAAAGCCAAAGGCTCATAGTCACAATCAAAATACTCAGCATCTTCGCAAACTTCAAACATATTAAAGAACCTCCACTTGATCAAGATATGCTTTACCATAATTAACGGTATAAGAAAGTTTTACCTCTGCACCGATCATAGACGGATTGAATTGTCCTACCTGATCAATAGGAGCAAAAACACTCTCCACTTTTGCACCCACATACCCAGCTTGTAAATCAAGCTGAGAAAGATCATGCTCAATAAAAAGCATGGTGTAAGGCTTGCCAGCCTTACTAGATGCGTTACGATAACCCAATAATTTACTCATTTCTTTTACCTCATTCTTTCATAATATTTTTTCTAGGGCTATTAAGTTGTCAATGTCCGCGCTTTACTTTATGCGAGCAATTTGATATCATATTGTTTGCCGAATACGTATAAACTGCACACATCGGGGAGCTTATGCCCGGCAGACTTTAACCAACCCAATCTGCAAAGTGTTCGCTTGGACAATGTAAATAAAATGTATACATTTCATTTACAATATTATTATATATACTAAGTGATAACATTTTGCAAGTGTTTTATTAACGAAAGGAGTACATTCATGCAAAATGCACAAACCGTATGGAGAACAACTGATACACTTTTAAACAAAGTGCGAAAAGAAGCAGAACAAAACCACAGAAGCCTAAACAATCAGATCGATGTAATTATACAAGCGTACTTTATCGAAAAAGAGAATTTAGAGGCGACAACAAGTAACATTTGACTTTTTTATTATTATTCTATATAATTCAATTAACTTATTTCTATATACGTTACTTGCGTATATACCTCATTTGCCCGGGTCTGACTAACTCGGGCAATTTTTTTGCCCATAGATTCCGCCAACTTCGAGGCAGTTTCCACAAGATCAGCTTCAGAGTCGACCATCATAAGAGAGATATTCGGCATAGAAAGATTAAGGCTACGAATATAACGGTGTCGCCCTAGATCAATACACTCCAACTCTTTCGTCACATATTTACCGATATACCGGGCACACCTATGATAATCCCGAACAGCTGTAACAGTCGAAAAACCATATTTCCAACCGCCTAGATTATAGATTATATTTTTCCCATCTTTATGACCTGAATCAGAAAATTTAATAGCACCGCACTGAGCGACAAGACCATGAAAGTGCCAAGCTCCATCTTTGTGACGTTCGGGAACAAATAAGTATTGCAAATCAGGCGCATATCTTTTGCGCTGGTTATTGAGCCATTGACGCACCTTATTAAGACACACATCATAATCATATCTATCAACCGCGTCAGGTGAAAAAGTTAGCGTGATAAAATACTCCCATTGCGCCGCCCGGGCGAATGTAAAAATAGATTGCTTCGAGCGCAAGACACTATTTTCCTTAGAGCGCGCCAAATCAGCCTCCGAATATTCAAGTCGTCGAAAATCGATACCATCAGGCACATCAGAACGAACATATTCACCGTTAAAAGGATTCTTTTGCATAGGGTGATCAATTTCATAAGGATTTTCGGGCTGAGGATCAGGGAGCGCAGTCGAATAAAAGCGGCATTGCACTTCCCCATTTGGATATTCAAGAATCTTAAAATTATATATTTTTACCACCTCCACAAAAAAAAGTGACTGCGAAGTGTTGCTATAGTCAAGTATAGCAACACCGAGATATCGCGCGCTTTATGCATCATGATTCTGCTTCGACAAAGCAAAAAAAAGGACGCAGTGTTTGCGCCCTAGTACTATTTTTCTATTAAGTTTTTTCATAAAAAAGCCGAGAACTATCTCGTTAAACTTCTAGTTTTCCAAATACTCGATGTACAAGCGTGTAACTAGCGGGAGATTCCATTTTACACGCTATCGAGTACCGCGCGGAAGCGATGCGCTTTCGGAAAACTATATACCATTTTAACAAATAGATTTACTCCGTAAAGGGGATTTTTGCGCCCTTGATAAAGCGCTATTATCAATCTGATACGACGGGCAATTCGCTTGCCACATACGGCGGCCAGACATACAATATAAGCCCCACTTATCACTGTCACAATTCAAACAGCTACAACAACTTTTTTCTATCTCTTTCACTTATTTCTATACCTCCACATACAAATTTGTAATCAAGCTGAAACTTCGTTTCAAGGTGTTCTAGATCAGAACAAAATTGAGTTGCGCCGCGCTAGAGGTTGTTTGTCATATTCTCCGCGCGCTTGTAGTCATGCAATCCGCTAGCGCTCTTGCATTTGGCGGCCACTACACAATCACAAGTTTTAATCGGCTTATCACCAAAATAAAACATATCTTCAAACCGCACACCGAATACCTCACAGATCCTAGCGGCAGTATACGCAGTCGGACTGAACTCATTGCGCTCAATTGCTCCAATACAATTACGAGAGCAACCAACACGCTCTGCAAGTTCCGTTTGCGATATTCCCACAAGATGCCTATATACGCGCAAATTATTTCTTAATATCCGCATACCAAAAACCTCCCTCAACTTGCTTTTCTAAATTTCCTTTTTTTATGAGTCCTAAGCGCGTCATCATCCTGAGCGCGATCACCAAGATTCGATAAAATTTCATCATAGGAAAGGCGACTATCGTCTTTGATCAAGTTCTCAACACAAGCAAGAGTATCATATCGTTCAAAGGCGCGATTTGTGATAAACCACGCAGTTCTAAAAGTCGGCTGAAGCGTTTCTATCGTTCCGGCATTTTCCACCACATGAGCCGGGAAATAAAACAGCTCCATAACGCGCCATATCTTATTACACCATATAACACGTTGTGTAACGTCTCTGAGGAGCTTATCAGTCAAAAAGAACTGCTGACTCGAATAGATCAAGTTAATGTTATAGTGACGGCACGTGATCAGCGTAGACAAAAATAAAGGATCGATATTTTTATCTTTTCCCGAGAAATTACGACTATTCAATGTGCTAGATGCTTCATCAATGCATACAAGGCAACAAGTGCGCGTTCCATGTTCGCGATCATACTCTTTTTGGTGACGTGAGAACTCCACCACATCAGCAAGTGTCACAAGAGGCACACATTGTACACCAAATACAGTGAAGTTGCTGAGGACAATCACACGTTGCACAACCCATTTTTTAGCGGATAGATCATAATATTTTCGCCCGTCATACCTACGCGCCACATGGTAAATATAATCAGCCATGGAAAGTGTTTTACCGCCGCCAAAATCAGCGCAATAACAGTCTAAGCGGCCACATTGATATTTGTTATACAAGCAAAACACATAACGCTCAAATAGATCACGCAAAGCATAATAAAAAGCCTTAAATGGATGTAAAAAGATAGTTCTAACAAAAAGGCTATACCATAGAACAACGCAAAAAACAATTGTCATAATTACAATCATTTTAACAACCTCCCCGTATTAACAAACACAGACCGAAGAAAGATCAGGAGGAGCAGAAACACCGCAAGCACACACACCGCTCTCTCATCAGCCGGAAGTTCCGAGAGAAGTTCCGAACCGAAAACAGTTTCAGTAAATTCATAGAAAGACATCAAAATCACCTCCGAAATAGAACCGCAAAAATCAGACAAAGCAAAAGCACATTAGTAAGAAAACCCGAATGCAAAAGCAGATCAAAGTCTTGCGGAAGGGACTCCGCGGCGAGAGTCTCGCTCGCTTCCGTTCCTTCCGTTCCTTCCGTCGCTTCATCATCGAGCAACAATAAAGACTCGAATATCGGTAAGCTAGTCATTGCCATCACCTCCGATCGAAATAATACGACCTATAATATAAAGCCCGGCGAAGCCGATCAAAAAGTCGCCTATTGTCAAACTAAAATCACTTGACAAAGGAATACTAATAGAAAGCACCTCAACAAAGCAATCAGCAGCCGCACGAAGTAAAGTAAGTATCATATCAGTGCACCGCCTTCCACACGATCATTATCGCACTTACAGACAAAGCAGCTATAAACATAAAAGTAACCCACGGAGGGAGGAAAGAAAAGAAAGCCGCAAACAACCCACCAAAGGCAGTAAGGGATTCTGTAAATTGACCGACAACCGCAGGAACGTCGGAAAGGTCAACATCGACAATATTTGGCGAAGAAGCCGAAGAACCGGCATCCTCCACAGTCTGACCAATTCCGGTAGAATTTGTGACGTTTGAATTATCAGATTGAGAATCTAAACGACCATCTTCCGATATACCGCCATCTTCCGTAGTACCCGAATATGAAGAGGACGACTCAAATTGATAAACAGTCCACTCACCAAAATAAGAATTAGCACCATCGAAGAACACAGGACGAAGCCAAAGTTGAACATTAACACGTGCAAGAGTATTCTGAACAAAATTAAGTCCCTCAAGAGCTTGATCTAATATATCAGCATATGCTCTATCATCCTTTGAAATCCACAAACGACCGAGCAAGAGCGAATTATATATATCATCTGAGCCATTGCTCAAAGAAGCTGGAGGACAAAGATCATTATTAGACAGATAATAATAATCAGAGACTACAGAAAGATAAGGTTCGTTGCGGTAAAAAGATTGAGCCGAAAAACCATATTGAACATCAAAACCCTCATCAAAAATTTGTCTACCCGAAGAAGTAACAGTGGCAAAATTAAAGCGATCATAGTAAAAGCCGCGGTTTGTCTGACCACCTGAGACACCCAAAGCTAAAGAAGTACGCTTTAAATTTTGAATATAACCGAGAGAAGAATCATAGATAGCAGAATCAGAATCATAAGAAGAACCTCGAGTAAATTCCATAGTAAAAGATAAAGATTCAAACTCTCCATCTAAGATAGATTTAGCGGCGCGAAAATAACCAGATGTCGGAGAATAATAAACAACAGGAACACCAAAACTAGAAAGTCTAATATTTGAATTAGAAAAATCAGTAAAATAAGCTATATAAACGCCCAAATCAGAATTAAAAAAAGAATTATATGAGGAGTAACCGTCGTAACGATTCTCGATAAATAAATCAGCCCAATAAGCATGATGCAAAGAAAGAGAAAAAGGCGAACGAGAGCAAAAAACATAAGCACTAACAGAAGAAGTATTTTCAGGTACGGCAACATAACCATATACCATAGAATCAGAAGTTAAAACACATTCATCCCACAAAGAGTGCGCTTCATATCTCCCACTATCCATATAAAACATATCAGCAACAAAGCCGCCTGAAAAACTAGGGTAGACATTTAAAGTAGAAGCAAAAACATCCTCACGCTCATACAACATTCCAAACAAAATACACATTACAAAAGCTAAAATAAAGCATATATATTTTAATTTTTTCAAGAAAAATCACCTCCACAAAATAAAAAAAGCGGAGCGCCAAAGCGCCCCACTCTTTCGAGATTTACAATTAGTGTTTACGAAGCGCAAAACTTCTAACAATACCAACTGCAGTACCGATCAGACCGAGACCAACACCAAGAAGCAATACCGGGTGAGATACCATCAGATCAGCGACATTACCAACCATACCAACGATAGTTTCAGCGAGATCACCGAGGACGGTGAAATCAAGAGAAGTTGCAGCATCTGCAATAATAATTGGATTCATGCTTTTTACCTCCATTTTTCATTTTTATATTTTTTCATTTTCATGCATGATCATAAATTAAACACGAAAAAAGATTATCCTCCGAAATCACTTTACCCGAAGTATTAAAACGACGAAAGACATAAAATTGTATTGTCATTCCGTCACAAAGCGACTCGCGCCAAAATCCAAGCCTATGAAATTCATCCGTCTGAGCTTGCAAACGATCATAAAGCTCACAAGCAGACGACAAAGGAACATGAAACGCAAAGAACTCATCAGCAACCGTGGCAGTCATTACAACACTAGCATAGGGAGGAGTCCAAAAAGCCAAAGGCTCATAGTCACAATCAAAATACTCAGCATCTTCGCAAACTTCAAACATATTAAAGAACCTCCACTTGATCAAGATATGCTTTACCATAATTAACGGTATAAGAAAGTTTTACCTCTGCACCGATCATAGACGGATTGAATTGTCCTACCTGATCAATAGGAGCAAAAACACTCTCCACTTTTGCACCCACATACCCAGCTTGTAAATCAAGCTGAGAAAGATCATGCTCAATAAAAAGCATGGTGTAAGGCTTGCCAGCCTTACTAGATGCGTTACGATAACCCAATAATTTACTCATTTCTTTTACCTCATTCTTTCATAATATTTTTTCTAGGGCTATTAAGTTGTCAATGTCCGCGCTTTACTTTATGCGAGCAATTTGATATCATATTGTTTGCCGAATACGTATAAACTGCACACATCGGGGAGCTTATGCCCGGCAGACTTTAACCAACCCAATCTGCAAAGTGTTCGCTTGGACAATGTAAATAAAATGTATACATTTCATTTACAATATTATTATATATACTAAGTGATAACATTTTGCAAGTGTTTTATTAACGAAAGGAGTACATTCATGCAAAATGCACAAACCGTATGGAGAACAACTGATACACTTTTAAACAAAGTGCGAAAAGAAGCAGAACAAAACCACAGAAGCCTAAACAATCAGATCGATGTAATTATACAAGCGTACTTTATCGAAAAAGAGAATTTAGAGGCGACAACAAGTAACATTTGACTTTTTTATTATTATTCTATATAATTCAATTAACTTATTTCTATATACGTTACTTGCGTATATACCTCATTTGCCCGGGTCTGACTAACTCGGGCAATTTTTTTGCCCATAGATTCCGCCAACTTCGAGGCAGTTTCCACAAGATCAGCTTCAGAGTCGACCATCATAAGAGAGATATTCGGCATAGAAAGATTAAGGCTACGAATATAACGGTGTCGCCCTAGATCAATACACTCCAACTCTTTCGTCACATATTTACCGATATACCGGGCACACCTATGATAATCCCGAACAGCTGTAACAGTCGAAAAACCATATTTCCAACCGCCTAGATTATAGATTATATTTTTCCCATCTTTATGACCTGAATCAGAAAATTTAATAGCACCGCACTGAGCGACAAGACCATGAAAGTGCCAAGCTCCATCTTTGTGACGTTCGGGAACAAATAAGTATTGCAAATCAGGCGCATATCTTTTGCGCTGGTTATTGAGCCATTGACGCACCTTATTAAGACACACATCATAATCATATCTATCAACCGCGTCAGGTGAAAAAGTTAGCGTGATAAAATACTCCCATTGCGCCGCCCGGGCGAATGTAAAAATAGATTGCTTCGAGCGCAAGACACTATTTTCCTTAGAGCGCGCCAAATCAGCCTCCGAATATTCAAGTCGTCGAAAATCGATACCATCAGGCACATCAGAACGAACATATTCACCGTTAAAAGGATTCTTTTGCATAGGGTGATCAATTTCATAAGGATTTTCGGGCTGAGGATCAGGGAGCGCAGTCGAATAAAAGCGGCATTGCACTTCCCCATTTGGATATTCAAGAATCTTAAAATTATATATTTTTACCACCTCCACAAAAAAAAGTGACTGCGAAGTGTTGCTATAGTCAAGTATAGCAACACCGAGATATCGCGCGCTTTATGCATCATGATTCTGCTTCGACAAAGCAAAAAAAAGGACGCAGTGTTTGCGCCCTAGTACTATTTTTCTATTAAGTTTTTTCATAAAAAAGCCGAGAACTATCTCGTTAAACTTCTAGTTTTCCAAATACTCGATGTACAAGCGTGTAACTAGCGGGAGATTCCATTTTACACGCTATCGAGTACCGCGCGGAAGCGATGCGCTTTCGGAAAACTATATACCATTTTAACAAATAGATTTACTCCGTAAAGGGGATTTTTGCGCCCTTGATAAAGCGCTATTATCAATCTGATACGACGGGCAATTCGCTTGCCACATACGGCGGCCAGACATACAATATAAGCCCCACTTATCACTGTCACAATTCAAACAGCTACAACAACTTTTTTCTATCTCTTTCACTTATTTCTATACCTCCACATACAAATTTGTAATCAAGCTGAAACTTCGTTTCAAGGTGTTCTAGATCAGAACAAAATTGAGTTGCGCCGCGCTAGAGGTTGTTTGTCATATTCTCCGCGCGCTTGTAGTCATGCAATCCGCTAGCGCTCTTGCATTTGGCGGCCACTACACAATCACAAGTTTTAATCGGCTTATCACCAAAATAAAACATATCTTCAAACCGCACACCGAATACCTCACAGATCCTAGCGGCAGTATACGCAGTCGGACTGAACTCATTGCGCTCAATTGCTCCAATACAATTACGAGAGCAACCAACACGCTCTGCAAGTTCCGTTTGCGATATTCCCACAAGATGCCTATATACGCGCAAATTATTTCTTAATATCCGCATACCAAAAACCTCCCTCAACTTGCTTTTCTAAATTTCCTTTTTTTATGAGTCCTAAGCGCGTCATCATCCTGAGCGCGATCACCAAGATTCGATAAAATTTCATCATAGGAAAGGCGACTATCGTCTTTGATCAAGTTCTCAACACAAGCAAGAGTATCATATCGTTCAAAGGCGCGATTTGTGATAAACCACGCAGTTCTAAAAGTCGGCTGAAGCGTTTCTATCGTTCCGGCATTTTCCACCACATGAGCCGGGAAATAAAACAGCTCCATAACGCGCCATATCTTATTACACCATATAACACGTTGTGTAACGTCTCTGAGGAGCTTATCAGTCAAAAAGAACTGCTGACTCGAATAGATCAAGTTAATGTTATAGTGACGGCACGTGATCAGCGTAGACAAAAATAAAGGATCGATATTTTTATCTTTTCCCGAGAAATTACGACTATTCAATGTGCTAGATGCTTCATCAATGCATACAAGGCAACAAGTGCGCGTTCCATGTTCGCGATCATACTCTTTTTGGTGACGTGAGAACTCCACCACATCAGCAAGTGTCACAAGAGGCACACATTGTACACCAAATACAGTGAAGTTGCTGAGGACAATCACACGTTGCACAACCCATTTTTTAGCGGATAGATCATAATATTTTCGCCCGTCATACCTACGCGCCACATGGTAAATATAATCAGCCATGGAAAGTGTTTTACCGCCGCCAAAATCAGCGCAATAACAGTCTAAGCGGCCACATTGATATTTGTTATACAAGCAAAACACATAACGCTCAAATAGATCACGCAAAGCATAATAAAAAGCCTTAAATGGATGTAAAAAGATAGTTCTAACAAAAAGGCTATACCATAGAACAACGCAAAAAACAATTGTCATAATTACAATCATTTTAACAACCTCCCCGTATTAACAAACACAGACCGAAGAAAGATCAGGAGGAGCAGAAACACCGCAAGCACACACACCGCTCTCTCATCAGCCGGAAGTTCCGAGAGAAGTTCCGAACCGAAAACAGTTTCAGTAAATTCATAGAAAGACATCAAAATCACCTCCGAAATAGAACCGCAAAAATCAGACAAAGCAAAAGCACATTAGTAAGAAAACCCGAATGCAAAAGCAGATCAAAGTCTTGCGGAAGGGACTCCGCGGCGAGAGTCTCGCTCGCTTCCGTTCCTTCCGTTCCTTCCGTCGCTTCATCATCGAGCAACAATAAAGACTCGAATATCGGTAAGCTAGTCATTGCCATCACCTCCGATCGAAATAATACGACCTATAATATAAAGCCCGGCGAAGCCGATCAAAAAGTCGCCTATTGTCAAACTAAAATCACTTGACAAAGGAATACTAATAGAAAGCACCTCAACAAAGCAATCAGCAGCCGCACGAAGTAAAGTAAGTATCATATCAGTGCACCGCCTTCCACACGATCATTATCGCACTTACAGACAAAGCAGCTATAAACATAAAAGTAACCCACGGAGGGAGGAAAGAAAAGAAAGCCGCAAACAACCCACCAAAGGCAGTAAGGGATTCTGTAAATTGACCGACAACCGCAGGAACGTCGGAAAGGTCAACATCGACAATATTTGGCGAAGAAGCCGAAGAACCGGCATCCTCCACAGTCTGACCAATTCCGGTAGAATTTGTGACGTTTGAATTATCAGATTGAGAATCTAAACGACCATCTTCCGATATACCGCCATCTTCCGTAGTACCCGAATATGAAGAGGACGACTCAAATTGATAAACAGTCCACTCACCAAAATAAGAATTAGCACCATCGAAGAACACAGGACGAAGCCAAAGTTGAACATTAACACGTGCAAGAGTATTCTGAACAAAATTAAGTCCCTCAAGAGCTTGATCTAATATATCAGCATATGCTCTATCATCCTTTGAAATCCACAAACGACCGAGCAAGAGCGAATTATATATATCATCTGAGCCATTGCTCAAAGAAGCTGGAGGACAAAGATCATTATTAGACAGATAATAATAATCAGAGACTACAGAAAGATAAGGTTCGTTGCGGTAAAAAGATTGAGCCGAAAAACCATATTGAACATCAAAACCCTCATCAAAAATTTGTCTACCCGAAGAAGTAACAGTGGCAAAATTAAAGCGATCATAGTAAAAGCCGCGGTTTGTCTGACCACCTGAGACACCCAAAGCTAAAGAAGTACGCTTTAAATTTTGAATATAACCGAGAGAAGAATCATAGATAGCAGAATCAGAATCATAAGAAGAACCTCGAGTAAATTCCATAGTAAAAGATAAAGATTCAAACTCTCCATCTAAGATAGATTTAGCGGCGCGAAAATAACCAGATGTCGGAGAATAATAAACAACAGGAACACCAAAACTAGAAAGTCTAATATTTGAATTAGAAAAATCAGTAAAATAAGCTATATAAACGCCCAAATCAGAATTAAAAAAAGAATTATATGAGGAGTAACCGTCGTAACGATTCTCGATAAATAAATCAGCCCAATAAGCATGATGCAAAGAAAGAGAAAAAGGCGAACGAGAGCAAAAAACATAAGCACTAACAGAAGAAGTATTTTCAGGTACGGCAACATAACCATATACCATAGAATCAGAAGTTAAAACACATTCATCCCACAAAGAGTGCGCTTCATATCTCCCACTATCCATATAAAACATATCAGCAACAAAGCCGCCTGAAAAACTAGGGTAGACATTTAAAGTAGAAGCAAAAACATCCTCACGCTCATACAACATTCCAAACAAAATACACATTACAAAAGCTAAAATAAAGCATATATATTTTAATTTTTTCAAGAAAAATCACCTCCACAAAATAAAAAAAGCGGAGCGCCAAAGCGCCCCACTCTTTCGAGATTTACAATTAGTGTTTACGAAGCGCAAAACTTCTAACAATACCAACTGCAGTACCGATCAGACCGAGACCAACACCAAGAAGCAATACCGGGTGAGATACCATCAGATCAGCGACATTACCAACCATACCAACGATAGTTTCAGCGAGATCACCGAGGACGGTGAAATCAAGAGAAGTTGCAGCATCTGCAATAATAATTGGATTCATGCTTTTTACCTCCATTTTTCATTTTTATATTTTTTCATTTTCATGCATGATCATAAATTAAACACGAAAAAAGATTATCCTCCGAAATCACTTTACCCGAAGTATTAAAACGACGAAAGACATAAAATTGTATTGTCATTCCGTCACAAAGCGACTCGCGCCAAAATCCAAGCCTATGAAATTCATCCGTCTGAGCTTGCAAACGATCATAAAGCTCACAAGCAGACGACAAAGGAACATGAAACGCAAAGAACTCATCAGCAACCGTGGCAGTCATTACAACACTAGCATAGGGAGGAGTCCAAAAAGCCAAAGGCTCATAGTCACAATCAAAATACTCAGCATCTTCGCAAACTTCAAACATATTAAAGAACCTCCACTTGATCAAGATATGCTTTACCATAATTAACGGTATAAGAAAGTTTTACCTCTGCACCGATCATAGACGGATTGAATTGTCCTACC